GGCATTGCTTCTCTTTGTACAGAGCATCTTAGTAACTTACTTTGATGACTCACAGCAGAATGCAACTGACCATGACTGAATTGTTACTGAATATCTGCCAAGCGCTCCATGCATGATTGTTACTGAATATCTGCCAGACCCCTCATTCACAATTTGGAGATGGGTACTATTTCTCAGTGATAATGTGTATACACTGTGTTGAAGTGCTCCTGGATTGTTGGCCACCCCACATCGATCTGCCAACAGTAAATCTTCCAAACTGGAAAGTCCCAGTTGGTAGAGCCGAATACTGGACGAGGAGTTCAGCAAACAGTGCCTAAACTGTCTTGGGTTTGAATTTTTGTCTGAAAGGTAGCTGGTTCCCATTCCAATGATCGAAGATCATGAGCCACTCTCCAGTCCAGGACCCAGATGCACGAGTGAAACAACCATTACAGGGAACAAAAGCATCCTAGGAGATGAATTATGCACAGCAATGCATGTTGATATGCCGGTCACTTGTTCTCAGCATATTGCAACTTTCGTGCGCGTGTCAGATATTTATGCAGGAAAAAAGAAGCAGCAGATAGCTGACGCACCGACAAAATTGCAGTCGGCGCCTAACCGATGAATTTCTCTCTGCATTCATCCGGGGATTATCACCCGACACCTGGTAAAAATTTCAGCAGACTTCTTTGATCCAGATAAGTTATCTTAAGCTAATGCGCGGCACCCAAATCCTCTCGGTTGCCTTCTTTTCTCGCTGATCCTCTTTTGATCCTGCGGTTTCTCATCTCTTTCCGATTGTTTGGTTTATTAACGCTTTTCCTTGGTGGATCACTGGAATCCTGCCTACCTTATCCCTCAAGAGGTGGCAAGACATATGTGCTAAAGCAAAGTTTTTTCAGTATATTCAGAACCTACCCAATCCCAATGGGTTAGCTTCAGTTGCAAATTGTGTTGTGTGAGACCTGCCTGCAGTTGCAACTGATCGATCCAATTATTCTCAGGATAGAAAAGAAAAATCCATTATTCGATCATTTAGTCATCGAAAAATCCTTTACAATCTCCTCTAGCCTTTTCTTCAAAAGGAAGGAAGATTTGTCCATTTTATTTATTCTGCTATAAAATTGATTACCCACCAGTAAAATTCTGAGAAGCCTACCTATCACAAACTTTCCCTCCGAAAAGTCCACAAAGCAAAGATTCCCGTAGGTGGGCAAGGACAGCTCATGGTGAAACCATCAGAAGCAGAGCCCAAAGAGGCCATCCATCCATCCATCAATCAGGGAATAACAGTTGCAGTGCAGAAGCACACACAGCTCCCTTCCCAATCATTTGCTCTATGCGTTCCTTTTTACCGTCAGAAACGAGGTTTGTCTGACAGTACAATCTTGGAACCAGCAAGGATTACCGGTGCATGAAACTGAAACATTTAAATTTAACAAGAACAAAAGGCAGTAAACAGGCCCCCCCGTACCATATAATCAGGTAATAATGCAGCAATTATGTGGTTGCTTACCCTGGGGGGCGCCAATCATGTTACTTCACTGACAGACGCATAGGAGGAGTTGTTCCTCTTACTCATGTGGGTTTAACTTGGGCATCTTGCCGGACCCCTTTTTCCGATTCCCTCGGGTCCACAAGACACACACTCTCTCTCAATCCCCTTTTCCCTCCCCGATGCCTTTAAACAATCCGGTGATGGACTTTGATGAGCTCTTTAGAAAGGAATTATTGATGCGCTCACTCACCTTTGCCAAATGGCCTGTGACTTGTTGTGGCAGCCAGCCGGTGAGTGAGTGAGTGAGTGCTGGTGTGCCTCTCATCAGTTCCTTCTTGCTTGCCATCCTTGCCGGGCGGGCATCATTCAGGAATCTGCTTTTTCCTGCCATGGAATATGTTAAAGGCGAGAGAGCACGAAAACACGCGAAAAAGAGGCCGTTTTTACGCGAGCGAGCGCATCATCGGATCAGATTGATTAAAGCAAAGCAAAGCTAAGCTTTCTTGATTCCTTCCCAGAATGTTGTTCAAGCTTTTAGGCAGAGGCAGGGCCCTTCCTTTCACGCTGAAAAATTGGATGGAGCTCAGGCAGCAGCATGAACATTGAACAGGAACAAAACAAGGAAGGCTGGTGGAAATCAAATTCGGCGTATATCACGGCGGCTTCAGATATCCCTCCATTCCAGCAAGGATATTCGGCCTGAAATTCAGACAAGCACAACAAGGGGAGCAGAATAGGAATAATAAGATGCCGAAATGACGTTATGAGTATGTCTTAGCTAGCCACGTCCCATGCAGGTCACTGTTATCGCAAATGAAGCAATCATGAGATGCCTGAAGGTAATTGCAATTGTGCATTAGTGGACGGATCCTGTCTAGAAGCCGAGGGGAGCCCGCTCGCTGACAGCATCTTGCAAGCCCAACAGCAACAAGGGGGCTCCGAGAGTGGAACCGCGAAAACGACCTCCTCTAACCCACTTGGCTTCTTGTAACTCGCTCTGCATTCGTTTCATATGCAGAAACTGAAACAGAAAAAAAAAAAGGACGTGTCATGACTCATGACCGACATGTCCCTGGTCAGATCATTGAATCAACCGGCACAAGAAGAAGCTGATTATTTACGGGACAATTAAACAGAATGTTACTGCATGCAAGATAATGTGCATTTGCGTTCAGTTTCCTGTAATTTCCTCAGGTGCAGGCTGCAGACAGCAAGCATGGGCAGGCAGATATTTGCCAGTCAGTGACCACCACCAACACCGATCGCAATGGGGGGGAACAGCAGCAAGGGAATATGAAAACGTCGCCGGGCACTGTGAGGTCTGAAAGGCCATTGTTTTTGTTTCCAGGCACAGCAAAGCAAGCAAAGGGGCCGAAACTGAAGTGCCTCACGCCCCAGGGCAGGGCATGCCGCCAACCCACAAGTACAGCGTGAATATGGGCTGCTGGCCTGCTGCTACTCTGACCCGTTCCTTGGAACAGACATGGTTTTCCCTGATTTTGATGCCTGATCCTTCAGATTTCATTAAGTGTATGTGAGCACAGCAGAGCTGCTCTGGCTCCTGTAAATACTAAAACTGTAAAAGTCGACCAGTCTTTTCACTGGACCCTCGCTTATCATTGGACGTTACGTGGTCCATGGAAGACAGAGATGCCCATCCATCGACCACCGTTCCCGTAGCTCGCAGAAAGAAAGACACCGGTTGAGACTGTAACAAAACCCTGTAGAACGTGCTGTATATTTCCCTTCTGCGTGAAACAACTCTGCTCTCTCTCCTCTTCTTGTATCTGGCACTGGGACTGGGATGAAGAAACGAGAGGTGAAAACGTGAATTGGCAGGGAGAAAATGAAAGAATATGCGTGTGGCCATGTCCATGGTGTGGTCGTGGGGTGGTGGTGGCGCTGTCACTGCACTGCACTGGTGACTGGTCTCGGCGTCCGTCCCAGCATGCACAAGCAGCATGCCATGCCGCTGCCGCCTTTGGACAGAAGCTTCCTTTTGATCCATTGCGATAGCTAATAAGCTTGCTTGCTTGCGTGCGCCGAGATCTGGATTAGATTCCTTGATTCCCCTGTCACCGCCACAGGCCAAGGAGGAGGGCAGTTTGCCAGTTGCATCCATCGCCCCCAGCAGCCCTGTGTGTGCCCGTTGTGCGCCACTCTGAAAGCCACACCTGAATGCCTGAAATCGAACGCAAAGCTCATCAGATATATTCTCTTCGCCTTTTTCTTCTCCATTCAATCAAGAGAGAAAAAGGAAACTCTATTCTCTTGGTTTGCCTAGCTCTCCTCTCCTCTCCTCTGACATTTACCTGTCCTGTCCATATGCAATTCCTGACGGATCGTGCACGCCCGGCCGGGTCGGGCCATCTTTTGGTTTGGGCACCAATTTTTACAGCCGCCCGGCTGGCCGGCAGCGGCAGGCAGTGAGATTGAGATCAAAGCAAAGATAGATAGCGCATCTTTGATGCATATGCACCCTGTATCTCTATCTTATCTTCACTTGAAAGCAAGTTTTCGTGTGCCGGGAAAGCCTTGGCGCTGCAGAGAGAGGAGAGGCAGCATTCGCTCGTGAGACGGTGGTGGTGGTGGGGCTCCGAGAGAGGAGAGAATCCAGTGCCCTATTCGCTTGGATGATAAGACATGGCTGACAGTACTGTTGGCTGATTTGTTGTGAGAGAAAAATACTATTCATTGACTGAAAAAGTATGGCTTATAAGCCAAGCGAACGAGGCAAGCAGTCCAAGGAGCAAGCAGGCGAGAAGGGTGAGAAAACAGCAAGAGAACAACAGCAATGCTTGCAATGCATGCCCGCACGAGAAATCAATGCAACGTCGTCCCTTTGCTTCTCTCTCTCGTCTCTCCTTTTTCAATCAACTTTTTTAATTTCAAAAGAAGAAAATGTTTTTTTTCTCTCACAAAAAAATTCTATCCTTTTGAGAGGGTTGTAGTTGAACTGTTTCGCTTTTGCCCCGCCTACTGCTGAAAGATTCTCTTCTTTCAGGTCAAAGAAGTGAAAGCAAAAGCAGCAAACAATTGAGGTAGTGACATGGAGATGGAGGAGCAGGAGGAGGATGCAAAAGAAGATGCTGCCATGCCATGCCATGGCCTGTTGGCCCCCAGCTGCCTCACGCGCCATATTCCCTTTCCCTTGCCGCCGATTCGACCCCGGGCGTATCCATACATACATATACCGCCGGAGGTGGAGACGGGGACGGAATATCTCTGAGCGGTGGTGGTGTCCCAGGAAAGCAACCGACCGACCCACAGCCGGCCAGCCGCCTATAAGAGCCCCCGCGCAGCTCCCAGTGGCATCCATCACCCTGCTGCTGCTGTCGCTGCTTGTCCAGGAGCTGCTGCAGCTTGCTGTGTCGCCGCGGTAGAAGCAGCAGCCGCTGTCGCCGTCGTCTCGTCTGCGACTACTCCGGCCGCTGCTGCGGCTTCTCATGCTGGCCACGCCGCCGACGCTGCTGCTGCTGCTGCTGCGATACGAAGCGCCGCGGTGGGCACGTTAGAAATGTCGTCGCTGGGTGGTCAGCAGCAGCAGCACGGGCACGGCGAGACCAGGGCGCGGCTCAGGTGGACGCGCCAGCTGCACGACCGCTTCGTGCTCGCCGTGGCCCAGCTCGGCGGCGCAGACAGTAAGTGCTCTGCTCACAGCCAATACTTTCTTTGACCGCTACTACCGACGTCGGCTTCCTTTGCCATTGCAGAGGCGACACCCAAGTCCGTGCTGAGGGCGATGGCCGTGCCGGGGCTCACGCTGTACCACCTCAAGAGCCACCTCCAGGTACGGCTACCGCCGGCGAATTATTTTTCCGAGTAGCAGCGACAGTAAGCCGATCGTCGTCCGCTCAACTCTGCCTCCTGACCATGCGGCGGTCCACACTGCTGTTGCTGCAGAAGTACCGGCTGGCGGTGAGCCGAGGCCTCGCCTCCCCGCTCGGCGACAACGGAGATGGCACCAACGAGCTGTCGTCCTCCTCAGAGAGCCAGCCGGACGAGCACGATGACGACACCGTCGCCGAGCCGCACGGTGATTCTTCCAGGAGCATGGCGCGGATGCAGAGGGAGGTGCAGACGAAGCTGCAGGAGCAGATCGAGGTAAACGATGGGTCGGTCGATCACCATTCGCAGCATGTAGGTTTCAGCTGATTGCCAGTTCGTTCATGGTTGGTTGCTGATCAAGCTGAGCTCGGTTCATCGTGACCTCATTCGTGCGTGGCAGGTGCAGCGGCACCTACAACTGAGGATCGAGGCGCAGGGAAGGTACCTGCAGTCCGTGCTGCGCCGGGCGCAGGAGGTCCTCGCCGACGACCACAGCCTGTGCTCGCCGGCCGGCGCGGAGGCCGCCAAGGCAGAGCTCTCGGAGCTGGCCTCCGCGGTGGAGACCGGGTGCCTGTCCTCCTCCTCCTGCTGCTGCTCCCCGTCGCCGTCCCCGACGCGCCACCGCTCCGCCGACAGTTGCGTCACGTCCTCCGCCTCCTCGGAGGCCGAGAGCCAGGCCCCCGCCGCCGTCGCCAAGTGGCAGCTCCACACGTGCGCTGGTACTACGCGCGACTGCTCCGTCGAGCAGCCGCTGCTGCACGGCGAGTGTACATTCCTGCAGAGGCACGAGGCAGAGGAAGCAGACGCTGGAGCAGAGGACGAGGACTGCACTTCATCAGAGATTGATCTCAACAGGTAGGGGAACGATGATGGTGATCAGAAGCATCTCTGCTGCATGTGCCCAGCATCGGAGAACAGAACAGGGGATGATTGGCGGGGTGGCCTTCAAGGTTGGGACGGTAGGGGCCAGGCTTTTGAGCAACGTCTGCTGCTGAAACAGCTGGCTGCACTGCAAGCCTGCACAGCAGCCACACTGCTCTTCATTCCATAATATGATATACATATATATTTTCATTTATGCAAATGGTTCTTGTGTTTCATGTACCCCCTGTAAAAAAAATTATGCCTGGAACTAGAGGCAGGCCCAGATGGCAGCTGCAGATGATGCGCATGCACCATGCTTGAGGTGCAATGCAAGGATGTATGCAAAGTACAGAACTGTGGTAGCTACTATTACTGAGATTGATGCCTTAAGAGGGCAATGGCATGAGAACTGGAAAAGGTTTAGAATGTAACTTAAGATTAAAATTTGAAACCTGGTATGGGTACTGAACAGCCAGTTCTGTTACAGCACTTTGAGGATCATCGGTAACAACTAATAGAGCAGCAAAACGAAGAAGAAAAAAAGGCATCAAGTTAGTTTTTCTTACAGTAAAAAAAAGGTGTGGAAATTGTCATGATTTGCATACGCAATGAGGACTGAAAATTGAAATGCTACGCAAGGAATATTTATGTTGAAAAATTGCAACTGGGAGATTCAATGATATTTCCTTTACTTATCAACAGAGAAAACCGACAAACCAGAGAATCTTGTACAGGAGAAATGACTGGACTAGGGCTGGACAAAATACTCGTGGCTCGCCAACTCGCTCGACTCGTGGCCGGCTCAGCTCCGACTCAGCTCGTTTTAATCTTTTCACGAGTTGAGTTGGAAGTCTAGCTCGCTATTTTAACGAGCCAGCTCGAGCCAACTCACGAGCTGAAACAAGCTGAGGCCTATCAGCCCACGAGCATGAATCCAGAAGATGATGATGTTGACCTAGAACCTAGAGGTGTACACCTATTCTGTTAGTATGTATTCCTTATTTTCAGCTGTTTTGAATTTTAATTTTATAATTGTTGTGGTACTTAAATGTTGATTTTATGGATTGTCTTCCAAAGAGAAGATGATGATGTTGACATTGAATCTGTGGACTTTCCTAAGTTTGTGGTGGCAAGCAACTAGTTACTATGCTAGAACTGCATGATCATGGATGGACCAGCTATGTTGCATGGTTGATACTTTTGATGAACCTTATATGTATTAATCATGTATGGTTGCATAATGGTGGACGTCACATTCTGAAATTAATATAGCATAAACATTATAAACATGTGTGTCCTATTTTTTTTAGTAGCTCGCGAGCTAAACAGCCGAGCCGAACTGCCCCTCTAGCTCGTAATATTTGGCTCGTTAGCCTTACAAGCCAGCTCGAGCTGGACCGAGCCGAGCCGAGCTGGCTCGATATCCAGCCCTAGACTGGACCCTAATCCATGGCTTCTCCACAGCTGCACGCACATCCTGAAGTGTTTGGAGAATATTTATGTCTTATTGCAAGTTCACCTGACCAGCCGTATTCTCTAGTTCAATAATCCTACAAGCTCAGGCACTTGATTCCAGAACCTTTTGTAGTATTCAATCAATGCACATTGTTCATATTTGCGTGCCGCCGATGGAAAAAAGGAATAAGAATATGAACGGATCATATAGAGACATAAGAGCCGGCCTAGGCTGGATTCCCTGCCTCGTAGTAGTTGCTATGAATGGTTGTGCCTATCCTCAGTGACCAAAAACCCATGACCACACTAAGGGGAGAAATGTGACAGGACAAAATACTCACAGCCCGCCATATTGATCAGCTCGGCTTGTCTTGTTTCAAATTTGTCATGAGCTGAGGAGTTTCAACTCGCTTATTTGCTTCTCCAAGACAGATTGAGCACGAGGAATATTCTCAGAAGGAAACACATGGAATTGGACTCATACAATTGTGAGCTATGCTCTCTAGGAGTTGAGGAAAGCACTGATCACCTCTTTCTCCACTGCCCCTTTGCCCAGCATTGTTGGGGTATGATTAAATTGACAACTTCCCTTCACAGTGGTACCCTAGAGAACTTTCATGATCTTAAAGGTCAGATTGGCTCTCAATTCTTCATGGTCACAATCATTCTCATGTGTTGGACAATTTGGTTGGCCAGAAATGAGATAATATTCAATGGGAATCAACTGAACTTGCAAGATTGCAGAAGAACATTCTTTAAGGAAGTAAGGCTGGTCTCTTTGAGAGTAAAGACAAGCCTTTCAACGCTGTTTGACCAATGGATACAATCATTAGAAATGATCTAAGCCCCGGCTTTTGTCTTATTTTCTTTGTCTCTTTCTTTGTCTCTTGAGCTTGCTTTGTTTTCTTTTGTTCTCTGTTGCTGTACTGATATGTTTTTCTTAACTCTGTTAATAAAATTTAAAACTCGCTTATTGTCACGTGTTACTAGGACTAAAGGAGTACAGGTTCCATGGGTAGTGTGACATCAAATGGCAAAGTCCTCAAGCACGTATTAGAGCCACATGTCTTGAGTTTGAATCCTGGCAGCACAATTAAATAAAATAATTTTAGCAAACTCCTATTTCAACATTTGAGGCCTAAGGGAACCTACACGTGAGAGGGTGTTAATGTATAAGTGAATTACCCATATTTTCTTATCAGATTAGTCTTTTTGGTTGAATTGGTTGGTATATGCAACTCAATTTGATATCAGAGACAGAATTCCTGAGTTCGAATTCTAGCAACTAGTATACATGATTAAATAAAATAATTTCAGCTGACTTCTTTTTCCACATTTTAGGCATGACGAAACTGGTATGCAAGGGTGTTGAAATACAAGTGAATTGCATACCTCTTCTCGTTGGTTTAAGTTTTTGGGTTAAACTAATGGTTACATACAACTCATCAATACTTAGAAAAAAGAGAAACACCTTCAACAGCCTCAAAAACTCTAGACAGTAGACACCCGTCAGATAGCCTTTTCAGCCTTTTGATTTCAAGCAGGTATTTTCAGATGACTGTGGCCCACCTGACCAACGAATGGTCACTCAGTGACATGAACCTTTTGTTGGTTAATTGCTCGCCATATTTTTTTCAGATGTATGCTGTTTGTTGGTAAGTTGATCCCAACATTCTTGATGTTCTGTCAGACAGGCACTAACGATCTGATATCCTCCATACTTACTAGGTATCACTTCACCTGAATATATCTTGCTAACTAAAGCAGTAAGTTTCTAGAGGGTAACCGTGACTGTATATGCAGGATTACCTGTTTCAAACTCTGAACTGGAAGTCTGGAACCTTTCATGGATGGCAATGTTAGACTCTTGGCCATTGACCACGTCTCCTAGTTTGGTTTCTCCACTCGTTGACCTTTCCTGTCTCCAAGAGGCCAGTGAGGGTAGCTTTACGATGGCGCAGGGACAAGACATTGCCGGCTAATACCTCTAAGATAATCAAACTGAAGGACCTACAAGGTGGGCAGTGAGCAATACTACTAGTCAGAGTTTTCCATTTGCCAGAGGAAATCGTGCGATATGTCATGCCACTAAGGAAATCCACTGAACCAACATCAACATGACAATATCTAATGGCCCAATGAATGAAAAACAGTGTGATACCAGTAATCAGACAAAGAAAAGAGTGTGCAGGATATCACAAAGTAAGCGAATGAGACTCCATAACTGATTTATATATATAACATATATTTACAGGAAAAAAGCATATCAGCCACTAGTGGCAAAGGATCGCATAATAAATTGTCCAGTGTTAAATTAGCATATGCAGGATGATATCGATCGATCCGGTGAGTGTGAAGCGAGACCTCGCAGAAAGCGATATGGAGCGGAGTTGCTGACCGTTGGTGCGAGTTGCGACCGCATCGCGAGGAGAGGAGAGGAGACCGGCGCGCGATTGGGAGTCGGCGCTACCCAGAAATCACGCGCTGTGCTCGCCAGTGGCGACGTACACGTCGGGGCCGGCTCTTCCCCATGGTGCGCCGGCCGCGCTGTGCTCGCCAGTGGCGACGTACACGTCGGGGCCGGCTCTTCCCCATGGTGCGCCGGCCTTGTTGTCGCCGCGACGGCGAGGCAGCAGTTGTTTAGCCTAGTTCACGGGCCCGTTGGGCTGAAATACAAGGCCGGCCCGAAGTGGAGTGGAGATAAACAGATCACATTTATTCTAGAAAAAAGAATAAACTCCCCTAAGAAAAGAATAAACATATTATATTTCAAGGAAATAAACTATAGTACTTGAGATCATTATTCGATATCTGATTCAATTAATAACCCTACTCCCTCCAATCCAAATGTAAGGTAATATTTAAGTTCTGTCCTAAGTTGGTCTCGTCCGACTTTGACAAAGTTAATAGAAAAATATCAACATCAAATCAATCCCATTAAAAATACTATAAAATTGTCGGGTATAGATATTATGGATACCCAAAGCAGCATCCCACGATGACTTTTCCGGATGGCTCGAGACGTATTAAAATGTCTCGTCCGACCCTAAGGCAGCGGGCTCCGTCTCGCCCGACCTTAAGGCCGCGGGCTTCGTCTCACCCGACCCTAAGGCTGCGGGCTCCGTCTCACCCGACCCCTTAGGTGCGGGCTCCATCTCGCCCGGACCGTAAGGACGCAGGTTCAGTCTCGTCCAAGGCCGCGGGCCCCGTCTCGCCTGACCCCTTGGGTGCGGGCTCGTCTCTCCCGACCTCGAGGCCACGGGCTCCGTCTCGCCTGACCCCTTGGGTGCGGGCTCCGTCTTGCCCGACCCCAAGGACGCGGTTTTCATTTCGCCTAAGGTCGCGAGCTCCGTCTCACCCGACCTCGAGGCCGCAGGTTCCGCCTCGTTCGACGGAGATCCATATCGCCGTCAACCACTACAGGTCTAAGCGTATGGGCCTGAGTCAAAACTCGGATGCCAGGGAAGAGGCTGGCACGCCTCGATGTAACCCATGGCCATGACGGGCCATACCTGGGGTTTCACATCAAGAACAGTGTCA